ATCTTACTATTGCTTTATCATTTATAATTCTTTTTACGTTGTTATATTGCAGTTATTATTTTTATATTATTTTTATTCATATTATTGTTACTATTATTATTTTTTATAAAAATTATTACTTTTAACTTTCTTTTCCTCTTTTTTTTTTTTTTTTTTAAAATCTTCTTTATTGTTATTGTTGCTTATTTTTCTTTTCTTTTTTCTTTTTTCTTTTTTTTTAGGTGTCACTCCATTGACTAATTTTCAACTATATGAGTGACACCCAACCTTATTTATGTAAATTTATAATTTATCAGGCTTGGTCGGGAAGCAGGTGTGATCGCACTCGATAACTGACCACGGAAATAATATTTAGTTGCGAAAAACCGGCCAAATTTTTTAGTTGTTTTGAGAACATTTAAGTTTTTGTATGTTTCCTTGTTTGTCCACATAATAATAAGTTAAAAATAATAAGTTCATTTTATCGTAAATTTTAAAATATTTTGTTTTATGGACTTACATGGAAACATATATAAACTTAAATGTTCTCAAACATTTTAGTACGGAAAAATTAAAAAAAAATATTCGCGAACATAAAAAACCCACCAAATCTACGAACAACTAATTCTATTAGTTCAAAAAATACTAAACGAAATTTCTAGAGTATTCAAAAAAAATACTAACCGAATGTCCTGATTATTCTGTTGAAATATTTTTAAAAATTGTATTATTTGAGTTTTGTTACGTTTTTGTTGAGATTTCTAGAATAAATTATTTTAAGAATATACTATCAAACGAACTATTATTTTAATTCTTGGAGCCACATCTACAAAGCTATAAATGTTGTAAACTAACAATATTTGTTTACAATAATAAATGTTTCTAATTTATATTTTTGAACTTGTCAACGTTTTGTAAATATATTATAGATTTTATTTGTATATTCTAATTTTTTATATACAAGGGATGTATTTTTTATGTATGTTATGTATTTTTATGTATGTAAAGTATTTTTATGTATGTAATGTATTTTTATGTATGTATTTTTTATGTATATAATTTTATGTATTTGTATTTTATTCAAATGTAATCTTTTAAAGCAATATATGCGATTGATTTTGTAAACAAAAATTTTTTCAATAATAACTGCGTTTTTAAAGAAATTATTAATAATCGTCAAAGTTAATACAAATAATTTTAACCACTTATCCATTTTTCTCAGTGTACCCGATAACTGATTATTTCTCCTAAGAAAGAAAAGTTTTTAAGTTCTTAGAAATTGGTTTACTAACTTCTATTATTTTTGCTTCAGCCATTCTTACAAACTCGTTATGCATAGAGTTACTTTTACTTACTAAAACATCATCAGCAGTATTGTGAAGCAGTTCCGCTACCGTTAAATTCTTTTTATTTGCTTTTCATATTTATCAACATTAACTGCACCAATTTACTTAATTACCGCAAAAATACTTTAAATCATTAATGTAGAAATGTTATTATTTAAAAATGTTTTGGAATGTTTCGTTTTTTAAAATGTAAAAACATTTGTTTATTTTCTCGGCGTTTGACACGTTTTGTCTATACTAAAAGAATAAAAAACATAAGTAATAAAACATAAACAAATTTTCAATTATTTTTTTCAATTGTTTTTTCTTTTTAAAAAGTTTCAATTATTTTTTCTTTTTAAAAAGTCAGAGAGTAATTAACTAGAAATTTTAATATTGTACGATTAAAAACTGTGCAATAGCTAATATTTTTACTACCGATTTATATAATATTTTTTTCTTTATTTTCATAAAGCGGTTGATAAGCATAATCACTCATATTATTAAAAAACTTTAACGAACGTTTTGAATAGATTTTTAATGTTTACAAGGAATTTTATTTTTGGTAAAATGAAATAAAATAAAATGTTAGAATAAAAATCTTTTAGGTATAAAAGAAATATTTCAGCGAAAAAATTATTCTTAAAAATTATTATTAAAAATTATTCGAAAAACTATTGACGCTTATTTTTCAGCAGCTGTTCTTGAGCACGCTTCGTTGAGTTTCGGTAACTTTTAACAAAAAAGCGATTGTTATTATTTAAGTAATTTTTTTCGAGTTACTTTTTACAAAAATTTTAATTACTGTACTTTTTTATTGAATCAAGTAGAATACGTTTTAATATTAACCCTTTTATTTTTTTTTATTTGCGCTTACCAATTTTTAAAATGTTTCCTCGAAATTACTCTTAAAAACTTTAAATTCGTATTATTAAAAACGTTTAAATTCGTAAAATTCGCATTGCCCAACGCTTTATCGCAACGTAAACTTACTACAATTATTTTTTACGTAAACTTACTACATTTTTACAACGTAAACTTACTACATTTATTTTTTACATATCGTTATACAAAAGTTAGTGTGGTTTTTTTCAAAATTAATTACTTCTTTTATGTTACCGCTAATTTAAAAGTTAAAAAATAGTGAAAAGTAGCTTAACCAAAATCGCTCTACACATAGGTAAAAATTGCTGAAG